TTGCAATCCTATTCTCCTTGTTACCCCACTCCATCCTTCCAGTAAGGGAATATGGAATTCAACTGACAAAGATTTAAGTTATATTGTGTAATGTGTAAACTGCATAGGTTGGGAGAAATAATCCCATAACAGGTACAGAGAGAAATATATACGCTTTTGCTTGCACCTGAATCTGGTTTTTATGGATTCTCTCAAAAAGCTGAAAATGTTTACTAGTTGGAAAATGTACATAACGTCTCCAAATTTTATAGTTGGGAAAAAATTCCAACTCACGGAATGCCTGGAAAATTTTCTGGGATTTCCTGGCAGTAAGGAAAGAGTTGCAAACTTGTGTGGATATGTGCGTGCGTGTTTGGAAGCACATTATCCATAATTGATATGCAATTTCTTTTGTCTTGAGTTGCCCAGGCTTCCTTTTCATATTGTGCTAAAATATACGGATTCTTAAATTCTCTTGCGTTCTTTCCAAATATTTACGGGATTTTTTGAAGCCCCGAAAATGCGACAGTCATACCCAGAAGATTCAAGTATTATGGGGCAAAAACGCGACAGCCGCAGCAAAAGATTGTCCATTTGACGTACCTATCCTCTTCCGGCAGTGATTGAAATGTATTTAATCGTTCATATCAGTATGATTTCAGTTTTTCACACACATGCGTTGAATTTTACGCGTTGGCACTAGAAACAGGTTACACGAATGTGTTAAGGCCCGATGAAGTCACGTGGTGAATGCCAGGCACGCTATATGAAGCCCTACCCATGCTCTCCCATTCCATTACAATGTCGGGGAGTGACTGAACCTTCACTTAACGCAAAGTCCACCGCATAGGAGCACAGGTATGCAATTTCGGAGTTCTCTCTCTCTTATCTAATACCCTTGTACTGTATGTACAGTGCCCCCAAACAAGTGGCGCAATGTTGTGAGATTTGGGACGCTTTTGGCTTTAACATCGGCTATAGATAATCAGGACAGTAATTGCTTCACTTGATAACTCTGCATAGCTGAAAGTCAGGGCTGGTAGTTTCATGTCAAGTTTGTGAATACTTTTGAGGTCTCTTTCGTACGATTCAAGTTGTTTCAGGTGCGCCCAGAGGTATTTCATAGGATTAAGGTCGAGAGACGACGCAGGCCAGGATCTGAACCCTGTTGTCTTCGAACCATTGGCGAGCCTCGCGAGACGCGTGCTTGGGGCAGGCTTACACCGCCAGACTTGACTGTACCCTCAACGTGCCGAGGTTGAATGCTCGTATCAGGCACGTTCCAAATCCAATCACGCCCGTAAGACCTCAGACGATTTGTCTTGGTTTCGTCAGAGAAAACCACACGGAACCGATCGTGTATCGTCCGATGCTGGTACTTGCGACCGAACTCCAAGCGCTGCTCGATGTGTTTGGGCACAACGTAATCAAAGCACGATGAGCAAGGTACAGTCAAGTTCGGCGGTGCAAGCCTCATGATTTGGGGCTGTATGGCGCAATGCATAGACCCACTTTGAAAGCCACTATTTTCCCGTTGGGAAGAGCTAGTGACACGAGACTACAATCACTGATAACTTTAAGCCAGGGCTGTCAAAGGACGCAATTGCTGTCTCGGTTGTCTCTAGTCGATGTTGAAGCTAAAAGCGTCCCAAATCTCACAACCTGAAACTTTGTACATTAGTAGCTATTAGGATGCTGAATTCTGAATAAATCCGACTGCAGAAGTAAATGCTCTGGGGAATATTTTTTTTGGCGTGACGTTCTTTAAATAAATATTTAAAGTTCAGTCAGAGGGACACTGAAAAAAGGCATGAACATGTCCACTGATGTGCTGATTGTATGAAAGATTTTCCTCTTCAGATACATCCCCTGGTGATATTTTTTGGGAAAACGTTTTGCAAGAATTTAACTTGCTTCAGTGAATCGGGCAGAAGTAGAAGGTGAAACTTGCCACCGAATTAGCTGTTGTGAAGTTTAAATTCAGGAAAACTTGATTTCGATGTTCATACCCCCAGGGAAAAATATTTGATTGGGACCTTTTCCCCAAAGAAAGCAGCAAAACAGGTAAATGTGAAATATATATGTATATTTGACAATGAAGTAGTTCTTGGAGGTTTCATTGTAAGAAAAATACTATTTTGAGGCATACGTCCTCAAGCCCTTTTTCTGGGCGGGAGAGCAAGAACTTCTCTGTTTTTATTTTTCTCGGTGCAATAAAATTCCAAGAAACGCTAAATGCAGTACTCTAGTTGTTCGCCAAATTCTTATTTCATTGTATTTCTTCCTTATAGGTTCATCCTCTCAGGGCGCAGTCTTCGATAGATAAGTATTTGGAGGTAAATTTTTTAATTCCATGGAAGCGGGAAAATATGGGAAGGGGAAATTTGATTTAATTTTCTTCCCCGTGCGGGACAAGGCAGCAGAATTCTAGGTCAGATAGACCAAAAAAGTTCCGAATGCGAACGAATTAGGAGATTTTTATATAGTGAAGGAAATTGGAAAACTAGAAGAGAAGCTCCTATCTCTTATTACTCGTGAAAAGGCAACGTCGAAAATGAATTACTTCCTGCATCCCAGTGTGACGTCAGAGCATCATCTCATAATTCATGTTGGTGTGTTTTTTTTTATTTAAGGGACACATTCAATCGCGTGTTCATCAGACGTAAACAGTCCCTCCCAGCAGATTTCCCTATTGGCCAGTATACTCGTAGAAAATGACAAGTCTCTGATCGTGGGGGATTTCATTTCTATTCGTCGGAATAAAGGGGGATGAGGTGGGATGATGGATGATGGGGGGATGATGAATCAATAATTCCAGGCAGATAAAATGGACCATTAAATGTTTCATAAACGGAAATTCTCAAAGTGAAAATTCCTTCATCCTTCTGCCTACTCCATCGGCCCGAATGAGAAGTTTTTGGCAAAATATCACATCCGCGGGGAGAAGCGCGCATTTTTACTAGTATTTCTACGAGGCTCACGGTAGATCTTCCTTGAAAAGTTTCTGCACTCTCCGATGGTGACTCGCAACAACGGCGATTCATTCGCCATCACTCTTTCCTTGTAGAAATCTCGGTTATTCGAGTAAATTTGGGGATTGAAGGGCTGCAGCTCAATCACTTCATAACCCATTCATTCACAGGTCACTCTTGACCTCGGGCACAGATTTCATTGGACATTTTTATTTCGTACTTGATGTCGATTGAATGGCATCCATGACGGTCAGAAGTCGTGATGGGCAAAATTAATCTCCCATTACAAAGTGAAGTTTACCTCAAAAATGAAAACAATACGTCGGAGCAAGTTTCGTTCCATGAGAGGGGCATGGTTGGAATAACAGTCTTAGTGCAAATCGCGCCAAAAATGCAACCACTTCCCTGTGGAGGACCATCCAAGCTTTCAATTGACGGTGATATTTAGAATGGCGATGCAACATATGCGTGGCACCTAGCTCCCTCCCGGCTTATCGCTCGAAATCGCAGCTGTCTTTATTATCTGGCATTCCCGTAAGTACTATGGGGAAATGCCAGATATTGCGGTCGGTCTGTCGATTTTTTCCCATTCCGTGTCCGCAGTAAGCATTAGCGACCGAACAACATGACCCACTTCGCACGTGCAGCTTTCCGCCTGCGTCGGGCTGCCCGTCTTCCACAAAAACATCCACATCCCTTCCAGCCCTGGCAGTTGACGGATCCATAGTAGACAACGGGCGAGAGCGGCTGCAGGGCCTACGAGTGAAATGCGCATCTGGCATCCTACACATATACATAGGGGAGCGGCACCAGTTCGCGAACAGGGAGCCAGTTAGCGAACGAGGGTTATGAAATGCGATTTGGCCTTTTGTTACACTAGTTTCACTCTCCATCCCAAGCATTAATTAATCAATCCATTTTCTGCAGATACCAAAAGCTGGAGCGTGTAACTCGAGAAACAAAAGACCAAATCGCATTTCATGAACCTCGTTCGCTAACTGGTGCCGCTCCCATCTCCACGCAACGCGGACGCGCGAACCATCGAGAACACGTCTAGTTGTAACGGGCCTTTTCATATATCTGATTGGAAAGAAAGTTCTCGGAATTTCTTGAATATCCAGTACAATTTTTTTCCAGAGCATGCTAGAATGTTCTGCNTAAATAAACTGGGTTGTAATAATTGTTCATGAAATTCCGAGAACTTCCTTTCCAATCAGATAGGCCTATGCCGTACCAATGACAGCTATTATTTATTTCAAGGTTGGATGGTTAGGTTGCGGCGAATATATATAACTGGAGAGTTTGACCAAAGAAACTTAATATTGCATTTATTGCATTCGTTTTTGAAGTGCACCCCTAATGATGCTGTCAAACCTCTTGGTTAATGGGTTTGGCAATTCTCGCAACTTTGGCGCTCGCATCTGAAATTTAAAAAAATTGTTTCAGAAAATATTCAGTGACACCTGATTTCGAGCATAAGGATTACGAGGTAAGAATCAGTGGGTCGTTCAATGTTCCTGTATTGAATTAAATTCGTGCCTGTGGTCGTCACGCTCTTCCTTAAGCATGTCTGAAAAAGCACAATAGCGGACACATAAGCTCATTACCTCAGAACTTTAATGCATTAATTCCACATTGATAACAGGAAACTTTATCATTTCAATAATATCTATATTCAGGCACAAGGACTCCAGAAGAGTTTGAAAATGGGACTTCCGTAAAGGTTCCATACAATTATCCATGAAAAGACGCGTTATTCCGTAAATGCAACCCGTAGCTATTCCTTCCCGTTTCGTTTAAGTGTGCATATAGAAATAGCATTGATCTAAGCGTTTGTAAGTGAATTAGACATAGCCCCTATATATGGAAATGTCGATGGAAAAATCTTACTACCGTTTCCCTGCCAGAAAAACATATAGAACCCATTCGCATCTGCAAGCGTACCGGTTCGCGTCAACTCGTGTCCTTCCCTTCACCTATGACCCAATATCATAGGTCAGCATAGGCCTCGCGGCTCTGGCTAATGGGCGGAGAAATTTCTCGATGCAGATGGGTCGGTCAAGCTTGGTGTAGGCCTCTGCGTCTGTCCAAGGGTTTACATATAGGCCTGCTACCTCAGTCCCCTCAGGGCACGTGCCTTCTATGTCGAACTTCATCTGTAGTATGTAATAGCTACTCGTTTTCCCTCCCGCTTCTCTGAAGGAAGAAAATGTTTGAGAGTGGTAATAAACTAAGGGTTCATCTGTGGGCTGGGCCGAAGCCTGCGAAATCAGTTCCCCTCCCCCTTTCACCGAAATGTGCACCAGGGCATGTACCAACAAAGTCAGACATTCGAAGATGGACTTTCTCTCTGAAGTACCTATCATCTATTCACATTCCTTCCGTTTTGTTGAAGAGAGAACGTCCCTGAGAATGGTCTGGCCTAAGCGTCCCTCTGTGGGTTAGACCTAGGCTTAGAAAATGAGACCCCCGGAATGTGTCCCTGAGCATGTACCCCCAAGTTGGAATTTTTCTAGCAATCTAACAGCTATTTGTGTGCAAAGTTTCAGCCTCTCATCATGTCTAGAACATGGTTATAATTAGCGTCAGTCAGTCTCACTCACACCATCGTCTATATTAGATAATTCTGCATGTACAAGGACCAGTGGAATGCTAGATCGGTACCTGGGCTGGTACTCGCTCGCTTCTGATTCCAATGGAGAAAACGAGTGAAGTCGTATACGAGGGTCACTCTGAATGTTTCCGAATGCGAATTTCTGATGCTTTCTCTCAGGCTGCGAAATTTTCTCCCAGTAAAGACAATCAGTACAAGCCTATGAACATATTTTCAAAGTTCATCGTTACCTTGAACCGGTTTCATACTTTTTTTTATACCTTCATGTTCAGAGCTTTCCTGAAGTCAAGATAAACTCGTCCCATGAACACTTCCGACCAATGATTTTCTATGACTTCAAGAGCGGACTCGGCACAAAGAAGAGCCTTCGGGTTTCAGCTCAGCTACAATAACGATATAAAGCAGAGCGCACGTCCCTCCACTGCCATATTCCTTTGAATAACTTAAAATACGCATTGCACTCGCAGTTTCTGAGGTCACAACGGACATGTTGGCACCGGTGTGGCACGAACCTGAATACCGGTTTCACATTAGCCGTGTGCCACGCAGCAGCTATGTTGAACAGTGACATGGACACAGCAAAAGAACATGTTTCAAAGGGTACAGACCTTTTGTGTACCCATGTATTTAAATCCGGTATAAGTCCCATTTCGTCCTTTATCCGAGAAGAATCAAGCCTGACGGAAGTTGTTCTCAGTCTTCAATCATTTTCCTTTTGACGTGGTTTTAAGAAGATATTGATATAAAGTATAATGACATATGGTAATGATGAATTTTATCTAGAATAAATTACATCCAGAACATTCTTAGCTCAAGACTTATTTGCCATGTTCAGCAAACATGAGCAAATTATTTTCCATAAAATTATTATATTATTTCCTATATATGTGAAGATGATCCTGTCTTCATTTGGAGCTCTGTGAATTTTTTTTCGCAAACCCACCATGCATTCCTTTGATTTCCACATTTTTTCCAGGCGTGAAGGAAAAATCGATAACGGAGCTCATTAAAATGAGGGCCATTCCAAGTCTCTTGGTCGTCGCTCTAATTGCATCGACCGAATGCAGTTCGGAAAACGTAAGCGAAACGAAGTGTATTTATAAGCACCTCCTCTGCTCAAAATTACTTAAACAAAATTTTATTAAATTGCCTGAGTTGGAAAATTTAAAAAACGTGCCACTGTTATCGTTTACCTTTTTTTTTGCAGGTTTAACAAATATGCAAACATTCAACTTTGGAAAATTTTGGAAATAACTTATTTCATGCTGCATCCCCTTACTTCTTGTTAATTTCCTTATTTAGGTTCGTCTAATTTATCTTCTTTTCTTTTTTTTTCTAGCTTATCATATTACATTTATTCATTCATTTCAGTTCTTCTAAAATAGTCTCTTTTTTTCAGAAGCATGTGCTTAATTCAGTCTCCAAACCGAAGGGCGTCAAAGACTTGGAGGAGATGATGTTGACCATGATGGCAAAGATTGAAGCGCTGGCTAGTGACAACGCACAACTGAAGCTCCACAACGAGCAACTGACCCTTGACATCACACAGCTGAAGCGCAACGAGGTTCATATGAAGCTCGAAGGTGAAAGCCTCAAATCCCTCATAGAGAATACGGTGGAAGATAGGCTGCAATATCTGGAAGCAATCACCCGGCAAATAAGTGAGTAAAAGGCAAATACAACCGTTCCGAATTTTCTGATCTCGTATCGCGTGAATAATGGGGAGCGTCTGCTCTGTGTCACAGCACCCCCAACGTGTGCGACTCTCGGCAACCTGGGCGTGACGAGGACGGGAACTTACCTCGTGGACCCAGATGGGGTGCTTCGAGGCGAACCACCCATAAAAGTGCTCTGTGACATGGAGACAGGTCAGGGCGTGTCTTCTTAATTGACGCTCGAATGGGTGCCGACCGTTGCGACGACATATTTGGTTTTTCCTTAGATCCGGCGTCCACCATCATTCATCACGATTCGATGGAAAACACGGAGATTGACCACTGCCCGGATGAAGGATGCTACATTCGCAACATCAATTACGATGCTTCAATGAAGCAGATGCAGGCTTTGATCGAGCAATCGGAGTCGTGCGAGCAGGAAATAAGAGTGAGTGGGGCCTCGTCATGTCTTCAAGATCTTCACCCTTTCCATGCATGTAGTTAACGTGGTATGTTACAAAATTATAGCAATCATCCGATGCGATGAGACAGACGGGTAAGACACTCGACCATCTAACCTCCAAAATTTTGTCATTCCTTTCATGCGTCGAAACCCGGGGACTCCATAGCAACCTTCCACTCATTCTATGCGCATTTTACAGGGCGGTTCAAAAGAATGTGTACAACTTAATCACTTATATCGTCGTCAGATGTCGTTCACCCTCTCCAGGAGATGAGCTTTGTTGAAAAAATTCCTAACTGATAAAATGCAGATCAGGCATACCGATCACGCCTCGTCTCGAAACGCCGCTATACGAGTATTGTGGAGGCTGCAAATGGTCGGCTGGCGCGGTGTTTCCGAGATTTCGACAGTGCGGTCTATGGAGTGGAGATACGAAGTACCACGTATGCTGGCATATTGGACCTCTGCAATTCAGGTCCCATAACATTTCTGCTGGTGCACTGGCGGATCAGGTCTCGACACCGAAACTCGCTTTAATACCATGCCTACGTTTAATAGATATTGCCAAGATCGGTTCCGAAGCCATTGCTGGATATTGTTGCCAGTGCAAAAATGGCCTCATAACTTGCGTTCTGTGCGCCTGCCATGTATGTACAGGTTTTTTAAAACAAAGTTACTGTTTTTCGTTTTTTATACTTAGCAAATAGTGACTTTTTTTTACTGAAAATGTTTCTTCTTATACGGTTGAAAGAATCATTATGCGATTCCACAAGTACGATTTAGTAGGCTTAGAGACGTTATGATTCAAAATTGGCTAACTTATTTTGCCCAAGGTTTCCGCCTTCTACGAATCAGGTAACTTCGAATCACGGTGTGGCCATTTAAATTTATTCACCACTCGATCGAATGGCACCAATTTCATTGAAGGACGCGTTTAGGCGGAGAATGGCCGTCCTTTCGTTCACCTGCAATGTCATAATTTAATTTATTAAGTTTTTCCACTCAAATTAAAAGTTGCTTTATTAAGTAAAATAAAATAGTAAAAAAAGGATACGCCATTTAAGCTGCATACATTCAACAACCCTATGTTATTTAATGTTCTCTGGATGAAATTTTTTTCCCATTCTCGGGGAAGGGAAGAGGAAAAGGTTTAGGTTTAACCTCCGTTAGGCCTACTTTTCCCAAAGCTCAGCTCCACCATTCAGTATTCTTATGAAACTGTTTTATCTTACCAAGAATTTAGAATAACTGTCAGCAATTGGTGGTCATATGGAGTACTTTTTCTTTCAGTACGAATGTTTTTCGGCGCCATTGAGAGCCAGCAATATAGACTATGCATGGTGGATGGACCGTCACGGCGAACCTCAGTATTACTGGGTTGGGTCGCACGCAGGGGAACACCTTTGCAGCTGCGGTCTCACCGACGACTCCATAGAATGCATAGACCCCGATTTGCCTTGCAATTGCGATGCAGAAGCCCCCCTGGAGGAATTGGACGAGGGGGCGATCACCAACGGAACAGCACTGCCCATCACGCAGCTCCGATTCGGCGGCCTTCAGTTCGACGCCCAGAAGGCGAATCACACTCTGCGCGGTCTGGTCTGCAGGGGCAAGGCTGCGTCGCCGGAAAACCCAGCAGAGTCCTGCTCGTCTCTTCGCAAAGCCGGACACGCTCACTCAGGTTATTACCTGATCAACACCAAAGAAGGGCGCTTGGATGTCGTCTTCTGCCGGATGGATCTGGAAGACACCGACGCGGATTTCCAGCTTGATACGGGTGGACGCATCGCAGAGGAGAGTGTCTATTTCAATGTCTATCGCACAAGTGATTTGTCAAGCGTAGGCATAATTCCTTTCGAGGGAACCGAGGTGAACATAGGCAACGCCATGAATTCAGCGAATGGGATTTTCATAGCACCCCTAGAAGGCATTTATGCTTTCCATTTCCATTTCTTGGGCAACAGGGATATAAATACTTATGTACTTCTGAGACAAAATGAAGTACACAAGGGAGCGATGTACGCATCTAGTAGTAATTTATGGATGAATTCAGGCAATTCCTTCCTCCTCAGACTTCATCCTGGCGACCAAGTCGACGTCTATTTGAGAAGTGGAGGAATTCACTCAAACGATGATAAATATGTCCGATTTGTGGGATATCTGTTGCATCCCATTTAGTTGGATCCAATGGATCACCATCGGCTATATTGCAGTATGCTAATTTCGTCCCTTTTTCTATGAGCAACTGTATGCCAATTAAAATTGTACTCGAAGTCAAGCTGCCTAGTGATTCTTCGTCACTGACATCGCGTAGAGGCGTTTTATTGCACTCGAGAGAGTTGAGGCCCACGTATAGCTCACAATGGGATGCCACCGCCATCGAGCGATGCCTCCCAAAAACAATTTTTCTCCTGTTCTCCAGTCCCATAGCAGTGATGCTTTGCTATGCAAATGAGCAGATTTATGCTTTTTAATCGGATTTTTTCCACTTGATCCGGACCTGGATTGGGAATTTCTTTTTTTTTGCTCCCGCTGCGAGTCGTGTTTCTCATATGGAAAATCAATTATAATAGGTGGAAATCGTTGTGACGCAATAGAAGTAAGTTAGATCCTGTCATCCCGTGGTGTACGTTTTGAGTCCCTTACGGTACTTTATCCGTTTTAAATATGGGAACCGAGTACCTTATTAGTTAAAATTATTCCTGTCATTGAATATCAATCATATTAAAATGGAGGTGTAATGGCATATCATATTCAAAATCAATAAAGAGTTGCACCACCAGAGACGAGGGCCAGTCAAAAAGTTCCGATATACATTTATATTTTCTGGAAATGCGTATCCCTGTCAAGCAGGAGGAACAAGGATATGACCACCTTGAATTTAGTCCCGTTGGTTAAGAACACACTTTTTACCGCAGTCATTAATTCGCGTGAAACAGAAATTGCAGACGATTTCAAGCAACCACCTTGAGTACTGCCGTCCGGATCGCTTGCACCTCCTCAACGTGATGAAAACGCCAACCCATTAGACGAGACTTGAGGCGCGGGAGGGGAAAAAGTGACACGGAGCCAGACCGGGTAAGTCTGCGGGTTGGAGATGGGACATTTCCCCTCGTGCTTAACGTAGCCCCAATGACAGAATTGTGAGCCAGAGCATTGTCTTCCTGGAACCGCCACTCTCCAGCCACGTGTCCACTTTCAACGAGTGGAATCACCTTAACATTGAAGGGCATTTCGATACGATTCCCAACTCGTAGTGCTGAATGGGGCATCCTTTTGTGCCTCGCATCGCAGCATAGGGGGTACACGTTTGGTATCACTTAGCCCTCTTAACACGGATGGGCCGATATATCGACCCCGATGCCCGTCCATAAAAAAAAGTATCGTTACAGTATTCCTGAAGTTATGACCTTTCTGGAAAAGTAAAGTTCGTAGTACCTGTGACTGATAGTTTCAAATCCATTTCAATCGTTTGGCTATTATTTCTTGCGCTTTTGTTTGTCTAATTACAGCTTCCGTGATATAGGCTTTAGTAGCCTAATTCATTCCGTGTTTAAACGGTTAAAGATGGCGCTAGACGCGTATCCCCTTCTTCTATGGAAGAAATAGATGAATTTAGATATATCTCCTTCCCAGATGAAAGGTGAGGCGCACCCCTTGGATAGGTTGAAATGCTCCCATCTTTTCGAGAGATAATCGCATATGCGATAGAATAGAAAACTTGAGGCATGTTGCCACCGACCCTATGGCGAGAAGTACCTGAAGGAGTACCTTCTGACGTGTTCCCTTCCTAAACGGGTCCATCCCGGATTTCCAGAGCCTTCTCATATGTTGTACGAGGGAAAAGCTCGAGTGTTGTATGAAAAATAACAGAGGACTCATTCCAGCGGCATCAAGGTGAAAATCTCGGAAATCTGTGGTTGGACTCCATCTCGCATCGGCTGGGAGAACCGGCTCTTTCTGGAAAAAAGAAATACGGAAATGTTCCATTTTCCTACATTTCCCAAGAAGTCCGTTTTGCATTGCGAATTTCCTAGATATGATACAGGGATTTCTTGGAGCATTCATCCTTTTACATTTTCATGTATTTTTAAACCGGATTTCACAAGAAAATCGAACCTGTCAGATGTATACTAAAGAAAATTTAAGCATTTCTACAGTAGAAGAAGAGGTTGGCTACAAACTGATACGCTGCGCAAAGTAATTCGATCACCCATTACTGAAATAATTGGTCTGAAAGCGGAAGTTGCCAAGCATGCGCACAGTTTTGTCCCTCGGTGTAACTAGAGGCGACACTCCGAGAGGGGGGTCGAAATATTTCAGAGACATTCTGCAGCTTGCCATCAACAACACTTCCACGAGGCGTTCTTCGTGGCAGCCGAATCGGGAACCGACTCGTTCGGGGATTCGTCCCAAAGGGATCCCTCAACGTAACACGCGTGTCTCGTCGAGTCCGCTGCTCCTCCGTGGAGGAGTTGTCGATGTGCGCACGCAAGATGGAGGATCGAGTGACACCATAATTGCGACCCTGTCAATGAATTGGATTCGAGCGGAGACATATCGCTCATCTTGCGGAATATAACAGACTAATTCCAGCTGTTTCAGGTTTTGACTCGCTAAGGCGGCTACTTTGGCGCCATCTGGCCAGAATGGAGACCTTCACTATTATGAAGGTCTCCAATTCTGAGAGTTCCGAAGGTCAAGTAACTTCCTAGTAACTATAACTCACATCATGAAGACGATAAAGTCCATGAGCCGCTGATATCTTTGTAGCATCGTTTACCTTCAAGAGTCACTTCTAAATATACTACAGTCGAACTCGGTTCTAACGACGAAGAACGCCAGGTCCCGGCCTAGAGGTATAAGGTATGTGAAATTTAACCTCGGTTATAGCGAACTCGGTTATAACGCAAACCTCGGTTATAACGAAGTCCATTCTGGATCCCACCGACGAAACTGACTACATCGAAGTCCCTAATTCGTCATCCAAAATGGAAATAGAATTCCCATCATTGGAAAAATGCACGTTGGTGAACCATAACTTATCTTTCCCGGAATCAGCATTCTTTGAGAGACGTGTGGCGTGACTGGAGGAGGGTGAGGGAGAGATAATCCTCAGTAACTTAAAAGATGATCTCATCTTCAGTCGCCAATTGCACTTCTCGTCGACAACATGGCCAGTGAAAAGCGAAAGAGGCAAGCCTTCACTATCGATAAGAAAGTGTGTATAATTCGTTCGATAGAAAGTGGGGGAAGTGAAACTGACGTCGCTCGTGAACGTGGAGTTCCTATTTCATCTGTTTCCACAATTTGGAGAAATCGTGAAAGCTTCATCCGTGCTTACGAAAAAAACATGCCACAGAACAAGAAACTTCGTAGATCTGCTCGAGATGACGTTGACGAGGCCTTGCTAAAGTGGTTCAAGGTTCAAAGAAGCGCAAACATCACGATTAGTGGGCCAATGCTGAGAGTAAAGGCGGAGGAACTGGCAAGGCTGCTAGGCGACAGTGAATTCGTGTGCTCAGGTGTGCAGTTTCTTTTTCCAGGTGTGAGGGAAAAAAACTGGAGAACGGAGATCCTTAAAATGAGGAGCATTCCAAATCTCTTGTTCCGGAAACCAACTCCGGAAACGTACGCGAAAATACACCTGGCCACATTTCTTCTTTAATAACCAAACAGATAAATCCGCAAAGAAATTTGGAATCAATCGTAGAGTGACGGGCACATACCTCATCCGGTCGTACATGAGAACATTGAAACCCCAAAATACATGCCGCTTTCGTTTCTCCAGTCATCAGTGTGAAGGCGAAAGGAAAGCACTTCAACCGAAGTGTATATGAAAAACACGAAGAAAAAAATTCCACCATACTGGAAAATTTTATTTTTCTAACAGTTCGTTCCCAGCGGCTCACATGATCTCGACGCAGCAAAGCTGCTTGAACGGGCGGTGAAAACTCTTGAATGTTGCATCTTCCCTACCTATCTTCGGATCGTGACTTTTAAAGGAACATGTATGCAAGTGTTTGACTAAAATTCCAGAATAATTTAACTTGACAGCTGGCAGAGATTAATTACGAGCGTGATAACGGTAGTTTCATGGTAGTGTCCTAAGCGAAAGAGGCAAAGTCAAGAATTTGTAACAGAGTCCAGGCCTTGAAAAAAAAAGCGCATAAGTAAATCTAGTGAGAAGCGAAACATCTGCGAAAATCTTTCGAAACAAGGAAAAAACAACGAATGGAGAGTGGGGAGAGGAAATTTCCCGGAAAACAAGGAAAGACCAGGTGATACCTTCTCATAGCTGGTATTTAAATCCGGCCGAAGGCCCATCACATCCAAAATCCAAGAAGACACCTGCCTGACATCGTAAGTGGCTTCCAGTCCTCGAATCACTTTCCGGGCTTATGATAGTTGACGTTATGGAGCTGAAAGGAACAGTGTAGAAATCATAATTGTTCCTGAGAACATTAATGGCACTGGACTTCTTATGCATACTCATGTTCAAAACTTTCTTTTTTACTTCTTTTTTTTTTATACCAGGGACGCATCAAAAATAATGTGCGTTTATTCTTTCTGGCTTACCTTTGGAGCCATTCTCTCAAAACTGTTTAGGTGAGTTGCCTAGTGCTCTCTGAAGGCCTGACTATTTTTCGACGTCGTCCCCATTGCGATGAAGGCACTTTCGCTAGCGTTTCACGAGGTCTCGCATGCCATCGCCGTAAAATTCCTTGCCGGCATCTCGAAGCCACTTGTTGACAAACTCTTTGACTTGATTGTCATCCTGGAATTACTTCCGAGAGTGTTGATTTTCTTAAGAGCACTTTGACCAATACCGATAGCCTGACGCATCTCCCTGGTTGTGACACGCCTGTCATTTGGGTCGAGTTCGTCCATTTTGGCGGTGTTCTCGTCCGTGCTCGAAGTCACGGACGGTCAAAACGCTGCTTGTCTTTGACCTCAGTTTCACCCGACTTAGAGCGACTCACCCATCGCCTGACTGTGCTCTCGTCAACGCATGACTCTCCAGAGACCGCCCTGAGTCGTCGATGAATATCTGCAGGACGCACACAGAAATTAAGTCACTGCCCGCTGCTTCTGACGCAGTTTCAGCGCAGCCGCCGTCTCGAGCTTCCCACCCTGCTTGAGCACCAAAGCAGATTTTGATTAAACTACAGCCACAAAGGCGGGAAGTGAATATTGTTTACCACGATAAATTTCATCGGCCTAGTACAAACACTTTTGAAGAAAAAATAAACGTGCATTGCTTTTGAAGAGCCCTCGTTAATTATATTGATCCTGTTTCACTTAGGTTAGCGAGAGAAATTCAGATCTCTTTCTTCTACACCCTTGGTTTACAATTTTCTTTTTCCAGAAGTGAAGAACAATTCGAGAATGCAGTTAAATAAAATGGGGAGCATTCAAGGTCTCTTGGTCGTCGCACTAATTGCATCCACGGAATGCAGCCACGGAAACGTAAGCTGAACGTTTTGCATCTGCAACATTGAACACCTCTGCTCAATATATGGGAGATTTTCCTTGAAACCAAGTTTCTCGAGTGTTTGGCGCAGGGGAAGAAAAATGCGCCGCTGTTTAGAATTTACATTTTGTCCCTGGTCGATGGGAAACGTAAGCAAGAAGTATGAAAAAAAAAGCTTATGGCTTATTTCATTCATGCATCCCTCATTATATGATATGTATTCATTTATTTCGGTTCCTCTAATATTGCCTCTTTTTTTTTTTAAAGAAACATATGCTTAATTCGTTATCCAAACCAAAGGGCGTCCCAGACTTGGAAGAGATGATGCTGACCATGATGGCAAAGATTGAAGAGGTGGCAAATGATAACACACAACTGAAGCGCGACAACGCACAACTGAAGCTTGACATCACAGAGCTAAAGCGCAACGAGGCTCACATGAAGCTCGACGGTGAAAGCCTCAAATCCCTCATAGAGAATGCGGTGGAAGATAGACTCCAATACCTTGAAGCCATCACTCGGCAAATAAGTGAGTTAACGGAAAATGCACCACATCCGAATTTTCTGGTCTCGTATCGCGTGAAGAATTGGGAGTGTCTGTTCCTTGCGTCACAGCGCCTCCGACGTGTGAGACCCTGGCAAGCCTGGGTGTGACAAGGACGGGATCTTACCTCGTGGACCCAGATGGGGTGCTTCGAGGCGATCCACCCATACGAGTGCTCTGTGACATGGAGACAGGTCAGGGCGGGTCTACTTAATTGACGTTCGAATGGGTGCCGACCGTTGCGGCGACATCCTTGGTTTATCATTAGATCCGGCGTCCACCGTCGTTCATCACGATTCGATGGAAAACACGGAGATTGACCATTGTCCGGATCCTGGATGCTACATTCGCAACATCAACTACGATGCTTCAATGAAGCAGATGCAGGCTTTGATCGAGCAATCGGAGTCGTGCGAGCAGGAAATAAGAGTGAGTGGGACCTCGTCATGTCTTCAAGATCTTCACCCTTTCCATGCATGTAGATAACGTGGTATGTTACAAAATACTAGCAATTATCAGATGCGATGAGACGGACGGACAAGGCACTTGACCATCTAACTTCCAAAACTTTCGCTAACCGTTTCATGAGCCAGAAACCGGGGACTCCTTAGCAACCTTTCATTATTTCTATGCGCATTTTTCGGGACTGTTCAAAAGAATGTATACAACTCAGTGGTGTAGCAAGAAATTTTCGGGCTCCCCCAAAAGAAAAATCGTTAGAAACGGCTCGGTTGGTCCTTTTTGAAATGTATCGTATCCATAATGGTAGAAAAAATCGCGCACTTTTCATCATGCAGTAGCTCTGTTTCCAAATTATATGCAAGAAGCTCAAAGAACTCGCTTCGGATTCAAGGACTCAGAAAATTAATTTTCCCACTTTGTGAAGAACCTCCTTCACCATAGGATCTAACTCAGTGATGAGCTCCACCTGAGAGAAGAAATTCCCGTTGTATGCTTCACCGATTTTTTCTCTATTGCCACGAAACGCAAGGGCATTTGAAGCCGTAGTAATTTTATCGAAATTTTAATTAAGAGCTCGAAAACTTGTTTCCAGAAGGATTTTCGACGTCGTACTTCACGTTCGGCTGCTTCGTCAATTGTGCCATTCTGCTTCCATTGGACAGAGGTCATGCAAGGTCATGCAAGTTGAGAGGTGTACGACTGATTTAGCATGGTCCTTAATTTTTCGTGAAAGTCCACGCCAGTCACGTATGCTCGTAGACCAGGCGGATTGGTATTTTGAGTCCTTCCTGCCAGCAACCAGCCTGTGGGCTGTTGGCATGGTCCTTGCTCCAGAACAAACTTCTTCATCTGTGAGGTGACTAAATCTGCTGGAAAGTTTCCTCTATAGATTGTATCGATTGGGTGTCTCTCGCGCGAGAGAGCACCGAACGAGTCTCGAGATGCAATGGCAGGACCCAGGCAGCCTGGCGCTGGCTCAAGACCATCTGCTAGAGCCACGACGATTTCCAGTTCAGGAGAGTCCGTCCCGTTCGGGAAACGATGCAATATTCTTCAAGCTCTGATAAGCAAAAAAAAAATATATATATATATATTCTTCACTTTCTGTAGCTCTCGACCTGCTGGTCGTCGTTTTTTCTTCTCAACAGCGCCACTAGTCTTGCTACTCGTTACAAATATTCACAAGGGAAGAAATAACTCAAAAGTTCTGTAATTTACGATTTACATGAATTTTGATGAGATGAGTTCAACTACCGAATAATAGTGCTCACCACCGAAGCTAACAGCAAGTTACCCTTTTTTCCCAGTTACGACACTTATAAGTATATGCATACAGGGCGTGTCATTTAAAGTGTGCAATAATTGATGGCCGATTCTACGGACTAGAATGGCATAGCTTTGTTGCCTCGCGCATTAGGCCTACAAGGCGATGCCATTTTTGGCCATAGGTTGGGCCATCACAAATTTGGGATACTTATAAAAGACGTACTCTGTACTTGCACGGCGTCAGCCAAGGTGAAGATCTTGCATCGTATTATCTCGCAATGCTATGGCCTAATGATGGGAGAGTTGCCCTCTCCAAAGATATATAAACAAGTCTAAACTCGCCTATGATGGGTTGATAATCGACGGTATTGCGAGGGGGAGCCCCTGGCCGGAGTCAGCCCCCCTCCTCCCAAGGGCGATGACCATTTACTTCTTTTTACTATAATTTTTTCTTTTTGCATTTGTCTACATTAGAGAAAATTTCACATGTTTGATGGGAATTTTGGGCCCCCACTGGGTCTGGGACCCAGTGGGAGCCCAAAAGCAACTCCGGGGGCTGCTTGGGCGGTTGCTACGCCACTGATACAACTTCAATAGCTTATATCGTTGACCTTCTCCGTGAGATGGGCTTCGTTGTAAAATTGCCTAAGTGTCTTGAGGCTGGCACTCAACAAATAAATACAGCTTAGGCGAAACGGTCACACCTCGTCACGAATTACCGCTATACTGTGGAAGCTGAAAATGGTCGGCTGAAGCCCTGTTTCCGATATTTCGACTAAGTGTGGTCTAATAATTCCATCCCCTATCTAATGTCGGTTTTTAGGATTGCAACTGCGACTTTCATGAATCCGACGAAAGCATAGCTGGTTCTCTGCTTTTCCACAAATCTAATCGTTTGGGCGAGCTGACATCCCACCAGAGACTCAACCGGAGATCTGCGAATTTTAAGGCTATCGATAAAAGCTCGTTACTCGGGTTTCCGCGGTCGACTGAAGCAAATATTCGTCTTAGAGCGCTGGGGTCTCATCAGCTAAAGCAAGCTGTGTCTTACTTTGCAGAGCATCAAATAGATCTTGGGAAATTCGAGGTCAAAGTATGCTGGCATATAGGGCCTCTGCTATTCAGATCCCAAAACATTCCAGTAGATGACCCAGTGCTGATGCACAAGCGGATCTGGTCCTGGCAGCCATATTCTCTTTAATACCATGGCCACGTTTTAGTAATTAAGGCTGAGATTGGTTCCGAAGCTGGATATGATTTTATTTCATAGCTGGATATTATTTTCATTGCAAAAACAGCTTCATAACTGTTGCGTTCAGTGCCCATATTATGGGGGTTTCACGATACCTCGGACATGACAGGTACTTAGCCGAGATTCCAATACCCGCCCCATCGCCGGACAATGAGTGTATGGTTATGGTAATGGATAGCACTGACCACGAAGGCACAGCTTTATTTTATCCCATTTATGCCTTAATGTTAACTTGCAGTATCATTCACGCAGATTGGTACAGCATTTTACACTATTCACACAATAGTTTATTCGATGTTAACAATATTTTACCGTACTTATAGAATCTTCTCGATTTCATAATCACTTACATAATGTTCAAGTTATTTTTCACCTATGTTATTGGTTTCCTCTTCTATACTAGGCTGACAGCGATATCTTACTGAAATTGTGGCTACTTATGGGGTTGAAAGAGTTATTATGCGATTCGACGAGCCCGATTTAGTAAGTTTAGACACCGTATACTTCAAAATTTGCAAACTTACTTTGCCTGAGTTTTTTCGCCTCTAACGGATCAGGTAACTTCGAATCACGGTGTGGCCATTCACGCTTTTTCACTACTTGAGGTGCTCTATCGAATGGCAAATGTTCATTAAGGGACGCGATTAGGCGGAAGATGGCCGTCCTTTCACTCACCGATACCCATACAAAAATTAACATTACGTTGGCACAACATAACATTAGCTTTTCTACGCATTAGTTCCCTCATTAAGGCAAATAAAATATTTTAAAAAATCAGAAGCCATTTAAGCTGTATACATTCTTTTGAATCACCCTAAATTATTTGTTCTCTTCTTGGATGAAATCCTTTCACCTCTTCCCTCCCCCAAGAATCGGTAGGTTTAACCCCTTACATCCTAATGACAAGCCTGACTCGTGGCCGTAGAGAAGTGCCAAACAGCTACATCACGAGTCAGACTCCTTCGTCATTTCCAACTCTTCTCGACTCTACAGTTTCGACTGGCATTAGAGTTACGTTCTCTGGAAATTCAGCGAACCATTGCTTTGTTTTAAATATCGTTTTTGATTTTCGTTTCGTTGTTTCTCAAGTAGATGACATTACCGTTATACTAATACTTATTTCGAAGTCTTTGTGCATTAAAAATACATTCTTTGGACGAGGGTTAAGAGCGGAACGAACAAGGTATAAAGAACGGAAGCGAGATCCCTCTTACAGTGAATACACTGTTGATCCCCATTTCCCGATGACGTCATCAGGTCTCCCCTGTTCTGGGATGACTCGTATCCCAACAGATCTGGGCGTAGAGGAAAAGACATCCAGTTCTTGGACCATCTGGCCACACTTTATGGGAGAGGGAAGAGGTGTAGATTTAAGCCCCGTTAGGCTCACTTTTCCCTTGGCTGTGCTCCATCTTTCAGTATTCTTCTAAAACTGTTTTTTTCTCGTCAAGAATTTAGTGTAACTCTCAGCGATTAGTGCTTACATTGATTACTTCTTCTTGCAGTATGACTGTTATTCAACGGCACTGAGAGTCAACGATATAGACTATGCATGGTGGACTGACCGTCACGGAGACCCCCAGTATTACTGGGTTGGGTCGCACGCAGCGGAACACGTTTGCAGCTGCGGCCTCAGCGACAACTGCATCGACGACACTTACTCGTGCAATTGCGATGCAGAAGCCCCTCAGTGGGAATTGGACGACGGAGCAATTACCAACGGAACGGCGTTGCCCATCACGCAGCTCCGATTCGGCGGCCTTCAGTTCGACGCCCAGAAGGCGAATCACACTTTGGGTAGACTGGTCTGCAGAGGCAAGGCTGCGTCTCCGGACAGCCCAGCAGAGTCCTGCTCGTCTCTTCGCAAAGCCGGACACACTCACTCAGGTTATTACGTGATCAACACCAAAGAAGGGCGCTTGGATGTCGTCTTCTGCCGGATGGATCTTAGAGACACCGACGCGGATTTCCAGCAGGATACGGGTGCACGCATCGCAGAGGAGAGTGTCTATTTCAATGTCTATCGCACAAGTGATTTGTCAAACGTAGGCATAATTCCTTTCGAGGGAACCGAGGTGAACATAGGCAACGCCATGAATTCAACGAGCGGGATTTTCAGAGCCCCCTTAGACGGCATTTATGCTTTCCATTTCCATTTCTTGGGCTTCGGGGATGAAAGTACTTATGTGCTTCTGAGACAAAACGAAGTACACAAGGGATCGATGTTCACATCTGTTCATTATAGTTTCTATAAAAATTCAGGCGATTCCTTCCTCCTCAGACTTAATCCTGGCGACCAAGTCGACGTCTATTTGGGTAGTGGAAAAATTCATTCAAACGGTGGTCAATATGTCCGATTTGTGGGATATCTGTTGCATCCCATGTAGATAAAATGGATCGCGGTCGGCCATATTGCAGTATGCCACTTTTGTCTCTGCTTATCGCTTGATTTTTTCTGTGAAAAACTGTATGCCAACTAAAACTGTACTCGAAGGCAAGCTGCATTTTGAATCTCCGTCACTGACATCGCCTAGAGTTGGGGCCTACGTCTAGCGTAGAAAAGGATGCCACCGCCCGCCCAGTGCTCGAAATCCTGGTGGTAGCCGACAAAGAAAGGGGGGGGGAAAAAAAAAAAACAAGGTGAGGGGCTATTGCTTCACGCCATGTGACATCAGGAAATGCCCCTAAACAATATTTCTTCTGCTCGCTAGTCCCATAACAGAAATGCTTTTGGTATGCAAATGAGCAGATTTATGTTTTTTTAATAAAATATTTCTGCTTGATACGGACCTGAGGTTGGACTTTTTTTTCTCCCGCTGGGAATCAAGTTTCATATGCAAGGTCAATCATTGATATCAATATAACAGGTGGGAATCGTTGTGGCGCAATGGAAATAAGCAGGGTCCTGTCATCCAGTGGTCTGCACTTCGAATCCCTTACGGTACTTTATCCATTTTAAATATGGGAACCAAATACCATAGATTAATTTATTCCTGTCATTGCATATCACCAGTTATACTACCAGAGACGATATATACCAGGGCCAGTCAATAAGTTTTGTTACTGGTATTTCCAGAAAAAAATGCATGAGGATCAAGAATATAATGTCCTTGAATGTAGTCCCGTTGGAAAGGCACACATTTTTTACAGCGGTCATACAGTCGCGCGAAACAGGGTTGCAGACCATTTGATGCAACCATCTTCAGTGTTGGTGTCCGCATCGCTTGCACCTCCTCAACGTGATGAAAATGACGAAAACTTTATCAAGGCGAATCAGGCGAAACTTTAGGCTCTGTTTGGCTAAATGTTTAAGGGTATTTTCATATGATTTCCAACTCGTAGTGCACATTGGGCGTATTGTATCTCACATCGCAGCATAGGGAGTACGTGCCACTTAACACTTTCGCTACCAAGCCATTTTTCGGAGGTCGTTCTGAGGCCAAAGTAATCCTAATTCTGGTGTGCATGATACAAGCGATTCCGCGAAAGGTGGGGATCCACTGGAGATGATGGACGGCAATCGACAAGCCGCAACGAGGAAACTTTGAGAAACTGAAATAATTTTGGCGTTCTGTGCTCTTATTGCCTGCTGATAACCTGTGATTGCCTGATAGTCGAGCCATTACGAACTTTTGCCAGCGCGTGAGATGGCGGCTATGCAAATTCAGAGGATTTGCTCCGGCTCCTAGCCTTGAGAAGCGTTAATCCTTCGTCTTGTTCCCCTCGCACGCGCGTGTCTCTTGAGGCCTGTCCTTTGTTTTATGTTGCGTGAATGAAAGGGTGGTAGTCGTGCTGAATTTTTCTTGGCTTTCGGAGGCTGTATTGTTGGTGGTCGTTTTCAAATTCTGTTTATTTCGAACCTACCCTTCTACTATGTCACTGTCCAAATCGGCAAAAAAGAGAAAAATTGACGACGAGTGTAGAGTGTTCAGCGACCGGTGGACACACGATTACCTGTTTGTGCAGTACAAAGATAAGGTAGTTTGTCTTGTCTGTAAGGAGAGCATATCGGTGTTCAAGGAATACAACATCAGGCGGCATTACGAGGCACTTCACAAGAACAAGCATGACACCTTGAAAGACCAGATCACGAATGACATGATTGAGGCTCTGAAGAGGACCTTGTCTGCTCAGCAAATTTTTTCAAGAAGAGAGTGCAGGAAAACTTAGCTGCGATTTGGGCTAGTTTTCATGTCGCTAAATTGATAGCGGAGAGTGGAAGACCTTTCACTGACGGAGAGTTTGTCAAAAAATGCTTTCTGAAAGTGGCTGATGAATTATGTCCTGAAAAGACAAATAGCTTCAGTGACGGGAGTCTGTCTGCTCGTACTGTTACCATGAGAATTGAGGATATGGGTGAAGATTTGCTTTGCATTTTAAAGAAAAAGGCTAAAACTTTCGAGTACTTTTCATTGGCACTTGATGAAAGCAATGATGCGTGTGATACAGCCCGACTTCTTATATTTGTGCGAGGGATTGATGCAATGTTTGAAGTGACTGAAGAAGTAGCTGCACTTCAGAGCTTGAAAGGGACGACTTACAGGGGAGCACATCTATCTCAAATTGTGTGAAACTCTAAAAATGCTAGAGCTGAAATGGGAAAATCTGAAAAGTGTGACGACGGATGGTGCTAAGAACATGATCGGAAGTAAGTCTGGGGTCGTGGGACGAATTAATGCCGAGATGGAACGCCTCAATATCGATCATCCAATGCAGTTTCACTGCATCATACACCAACAATCACTATGCTGCAAAGTGCTACGTTGGGAATCTGTGATGAATGTTGTGGTTTCAACTGTGAATTTCATCATGCATAATGGCTTGACCCACCGCCAGTTTCAGCAATTTTTGTCAGAAATTGAGGCCGAGTATGGGGATGCTTTGTATCATACTGAAGCCAGGTGGCTTAGCAGGGGAAAGGTCCTGAAACGTTTCTTTGAGCTTCACAGTGAGATTGACTTCTTCCTAACCGAGAAAGGAAAGCAGCGAGAGGAATTACCCGATCCTGAGTGGATATGGGAGTTGGCATTCCTGACTGATATATCCCAGCATCTCGATGAACTAAACACGAGATTGCAAGGCAAAGGAAAACTTGTGTCTGAAATGTTTTCCGATGTGAATGATTTCGAAGTGAAACTCAGAATTTTAATCAAGCATGCAAGTGAAGCAAACCTGTGCCATTTCCCTTGTTGCAAGCTTCTTTCAGCAGAAGAGAGCAGCACGTCCTTTCCTCAGGACAGATTCACTGATGCCTTGAAAGTATTACAGACTGAATTCCAGGACAGGTTTGGGGACTTCCACAAACATTCTAAGGTCATTCGTTTGTTCGCAGATGAAAATTAAGACGCATCCCAAGTAGAGATTAAAATTATCTCCATCTTTTCAAGAGATAAACGCATATGCGACGGAAAGGAATGGAACATGCATTTGCGATCACCAACGGAACGGCATTACCCATCACAGAGCTCCGGTTCGACGGCTAGAAGGCGAATAACCCTCTCGGCGGACCGGTCTGCAGGGGCAAGGCTTTCCCTACACATTTTACGATGCGTCTATGAAGCAGATGCAGGCATTGATCGAACAATCGGAGTCGTGCGAGCAGCAAATAAGAGCGATGTGAACAGGTTTAATGTCTTCGAGGTCTTCAAAACTCCCAGCTCCAACGAGGAGAAAGGAAGGGCTAGGAAGGAAAGAGGAGTATTGAGAAGTGTCAAATCTCCCAAATAGTTGAGTGGTCAGTTACGATGAGACACACAAGATGAACAAATCAGACGCTTGACAATTTAACTTTCCTAATTTTGTTAACCCCTTCGTGCTCCTAAACCCGTGAACTCCTTGGCAACTTTTCCCTCATTCTGTGCGCATCCTTTTTGTTAATGATATCTCTTATTGGATGAAATCCTCTTCCATTCCAGGGGGAGGGACACTTATTATTCGTTTACTTTTCCCTTGGCTGTACTCCGCTTTTCAGTGTTCTTCAAAAATTGCTCTTTTATTCGAATAATGTGGCGGGACTGTCAGCAACTGTTGCTTAAGTTACCATTTTCCCTTGCGGGATGACTATTTTACGACGGCGCCGACGGACAGCAGCACAGAATATGCATGGTAGATGAACCGTCACGGCGATCCACAGTACTACTGGGCTGCGTGGCACGCAGGGGAACACGTGTGCAGCTGCATAGACCGCGCTTTGCCCTGCAATTGTAATGCCGACGTCCCCCCAGTGGGAATCAAACGAGGGAGCGATCACCAACGGAACGACATTACCCATCACAGAGCTTCGATTCGGCGGCCAGAAGGCGAATAACCCTCTCGGCGGACCGGTCAGCAAGGGCAAGGCTGCGTCTCCGGACAACCCAACGGAGTCCTGCTCATCTCTTCGCAAAGCTGGAAACACTCACACCGGTTATTACCTGATCGGCACAAATGTGCTAAACCTACGACAAACTTGAAACTCTAGCAAACCGTGGACTGTCACGTCCGAGTTTACTCGGGTGAACGCCGTTGTGCTTCCTTCTCTCGTGCAAACCGCTTCCTTCTGGGAAATGATCCCCGTTTCGTCAGTTAAAATAAAAAATATAATGGTTTCATGAACATTTTATTGAAAATGTTTTTCTATTTCGGGAAAAAATAATTGAAGAAGGCCAAAAATAAAAACCCGACAGAAGAAGTTCAGAATCCACAATAAAACTCGACATTTAAAGGGTTAAGAGCGGAACGAACAATGAAATAATAACGAAAGGAAAAGGCATCCAGTTCTTGGACCATCTGGCCACACTTCTTTAACCCTTAAGAGTCGGTTGACGCAAATACACGTCAGCCTATGTTGGCTCGGTGGACGTATCTCCAAACTCGAGTTTGATTAAATCCGTTGCGTTTAAGGGATTTCCCCGAAATTTTATCGGGAGGTTTCTGGCACCTATTGCATTCCCCGCTCAAAGGGTTCCTTTCCCAAAAGCGCGGGTCAGTTTTGCCGCAGTCGCGCAAAACAGGGTTGCAGAACATTTTATGCAACCATCTTCAGCGTTTCCGTCCGCTTCGCCTGCACCTCCTCAACATAGTTTAACACGATTCTATGGAAAACACGGAGACTGACCACTGTCCGGATGAAGGACGCTTTATTCACAACATTTGCGATGCGTCGATGAAGCAGATGCAGGCATTGATCCAGCAATCGAAGTCGTGCGAACAGCAAATAAGAATGAGTCGGACCTGTTAATGTCTTCGAGATCTTCACCCATTCCATGCTTGTGGATAACATGGTATGTTCCAAAATACTAGCAATCATTAAATGCGATGAGACAGACGGATAAGACTTGACCATCTAACTCCTAAAATGTGTGTCATTCGTTTCATGCGCCGAAACCTGGGGACTCCAAGGCAAACTTCCATTCATTCTCTGCGCATTTTACAGGACGGTTCAAACGACTCTATACAACTTCAACAGCTTAAAAAATCATAAGCTATTTAATTTTGATATACACTCTTTTGGAATAATGTATATTATTTAATGTTCTCTTCTTGGATTAAATCTTTTACCATTCTTGGGGGAGGGAAGGGGGATGTAAATTGAACTTCCGTTAACCCTACTTTCCCCTAAATTGTGCTCAACCATTCAGTATTCTTCTAAAACTTTATTTCCTTGCCAATAACTTAGGGTAACTGTCAACGATTGGGGCTTCCATGGAGCGCTTTACACTTGCAGTATGACTACTTTTCGGCGCCATTGAGAGCCAGCAACATAAATTGTGCATGGTGGATGGACCGTCACGGCGAACCTCAGTATTACCGGGTTGGCTTAGACGCAAAGGAGCACGTTTGCAGCTGCGGTCTCACCGACGACTCCATGACCCGGATGCATAGACCCGGATTTACCCTACAACTGCGACGCAGAAACCCCCCAGTGGGAATTGGACGAGGGGGCGATCACCAACGGAACAGCAATACTCATCACGCAACTCAGTTCGACGTCCAATAGGCGAATCACACTTTGGGCAGACTGGTCTGCAAGGGCAAGGCTGCGTCTCCGGACAACCCTGCGGAGTCCTGTTCGTCTCTTCGCAAAGCTGGAAACACTCACACGGGTTATTACCTGATCGACACCAAAGAAAGGCGCTTGGAGGCCGTCCTCTGTCGAACGGATCTGGAAGACTCCGACGCCGACTTCCAACTGGTCGCGGATGCACGCATCGCAGAGGAGAGTGTCTATTTCAATATCTATCGCACAAGTGAACTGTCTAGCG